ACTATACTCACGTCGCTACTGCTGATACTGCTATCAGATGAGAGATTTAACGGAGACAAGTAAAATGATGATGGTGAATGGACACCGGTGTTGGCAGCCTGACACTCTCCTGGTGACAGGAGAGGTGCATCATTGGTGCAACGTTGCACGGTTTCGCCTTCCGCGACACTTGAGCTATTAACTCGATGCACATTACTTGTCATCGACGATAATACCGACGTAGACAGCAGGGGATCGCTGGCGCTATTATTGGACAATAAGTTCAGCGGTTGATGACCAAGTACGTTAGATGATGAATAAGGCGACGAGGAAATTAGGTGAATTCCTGTGGCTTGACATTCCTCGGGTGACGTGTCGTTAGCACGACGTGGCGATGAAGTATTTTCGATCTCGATAACATTCAAATTGCCGTTGGCACGGTGCGTTTTTAATGATGTTTTCGACAACAATGTCGACGTAGAACTGAGAGTATGCATATTCGAGAGCTCGCTCAGCTCACACATTGGCATCAATTGATCGCTTGGTATCGTCGAGTTGCCATTATTATTAGGAAGTGTACTCGGTATTGATCTATTACAAAAAAAAATGTTTTATTATAGAATATCTACTTGTGCTCAGAATATTGAAAACTAAAAATGATAAAGCCTTTTGTTTAAAATATATGAAGGTTCAACTAATCCACAATGCAATTTTGCAGCGTTTATACCTCACTGGTGTTCCATTCATAGTAGGATACGCATCGATTGTTCGTGTAGTATTTGAATTGGTCATTGGCTCGCCTGCATCCTGTTGCTGCTGTTGTTGTTGCTGTTGCATAGATACAGATGATGTATTTACAGTTGCTGTGCTCATTGTTCCATTAGTTCCACTAGTAGCTCTGGTAGCCGCCATGGCATTACGAGAAATTTCTATCGCTAGTCTCTGTGTATAAAAAAAGTATTTCTTTAACATAAAATATTTCTATATTATATCCTAAAAAAAATTTTCTTTGTATTATTATATTGTATATAATCGATAAGTACTGAATTATATGTGTATAATGTACACAATACCAAAATTAGCTTATATTCCTTTTTTAGTTAAACATTTCATAAAATAAATTTTTGTGTACATAGAATTATTTTATAATTATTTTAAATTATTTTATAATTGTGTACTATATATTATTTTATATTTTCAGATTTTATTTTGAACCATTTACCTCTTTCAATTCATTAATTTGAGTGATGTATTGATTTTGGACAGTTAATAATTGGCTAATGTACCACTGTTGATCTCTACAGCGTTGGTAAAATGTCGGTGGTCGTACTTGGAATCTATCAAGTTTACATTACATAATTATATATAATTTGTAAGGTATTACTTATAATTCAATATATTCATAATGATAATGCTAATGACTATAGTTTTAATCGTTTTAATCTATATAAAATATATAAGATATAAAAAGTTGTTTATGTACACAAATATTAATATTCAAAACTTTAAATTTAGCAACATTTATTAAAGAATGATATAACATAAAAATATTTACCTCAATATAAGGGTATCTAATTCTGTGTTTAAGTAACCTTCCGTCGCGAGTAGATCTAATCGAAAGAATCTATTATATCCCCAACATTCGCCGATCTCGAAATCAGAAGCAAATTCACGAACAATATTTTTACTCGTATCACGAGAGCCCTGATGAATCATTTCAACTCTGTACTCATACCTATAAAAATATTTAGAATATAACAATATATATATATATTTTTTTTTGTTTTATATTTTTAGAGATATATGACCTATAAATATTAGTGCAAAAAATGTATAAATCATTACTTATAAATTTACATACTTTGAAGTCTCCGGCAATCCAGCGCTGAGCTCTAAAAATACCGACAAATAATTTCCACGTACAACTCCATTACCATCCGGATATACTTTCAATCGCCAGCACAGCCCATTCACGTGCAATGGCGTAGAATATACTGGATCAGCTTTTAGTTGAAGTTGAGTAAAATTTTGCATGGCAAATGTTGCACTGTCGTAGCCTGGCACAATTTCACTAGAATAAAATGACTCTTATGAAATTTAATATAAAATTATAATAATAATCCATTAATCATTACAGTTATGTAAACAAATTTTATATATAAATATGTACATGTACAATAATTATATTAATATACACATCATATGAAGTCGAGTTCAGATGTGTCTCTTTAATGATAGTAATTTGCAAAATTGTTTTAAAGAAAGTAAATTGTGCCATCATAAAATGGATGACAATATACACGCTTCTCTCATCTTCTTTTTTATTTGACTAACATGGTCTTTTTATTGTTAACTTTTGACTTGCAACATTGAACAGAGTGAGGAATGCGGAATCAGAATTACGACGACTTTATTACTTGAATAATAATCTAATTAATTTTTTGTAGACACTATTTTTTGTAATTTAATCACCGTTTTAAGATTTTTTTAATGTAACATTGAGAATGACCCGATTGGAGTCAAAACGTATGTATTAGTCATTTATTTATTTATTATATTAAACTTCTTTGTTACTTTATTTACATATGATTATTATTTTTTAAATTTGATTATTTTTTATATTTGTTTGTTGTTACTGGTTCTTTGCCCTTATTTTATTGTATTTTGAATTATACTAATCTTTACTTTAGAAATTTTACCTGTGAAAATCAGCAGGTACTGGCGCAGTGACAAAACTTGTCATTGGTTTCTTGCGAACTTGATGTATCTTGCGAGAAAGCTCGGCGCTTTTAACGATCAATTCGGAGCGTGTACATGTGTGCAATTGATATTCCACCTCTTGTAACAGAGCCTCTAACTGTTCGGTTTCCAAAGTCAACGAATTCTTCTGACCCATCAGAGTTAGTAGCTTAGCTTTCAATTGAGAATCCAGACGAGCTATCATTAACTCTATTGCGTTTCTGATCTCTCTGACTCTTTCATCTTTTGCAGCTCTTACTGATTCAACATTTCTCTCCTAATAACATATAAACATGATAAAATTATAAAATGTGATCGAATAAATTCGAATTACTAGATATTTTCAATTTTCTTCCATTTTTTTAAACTTCATATTTATAAACATACCACTTCTTGAACAAGGCTGATTAATTCCACGTGTCGTCTATTTAATTGACCTAGTTCTGCTTTTATCTGAGAAACATGTTGCTCATAAACATCTTCTAAAGGTTTAAATGTGTGTCCTGAGTGAGTACCTCCCCAAAGAGCACACTGATGACAAATACATTTACGGCAAGTCCAGCAATACACAGATAATTTTTCCTGATGTGCTGTGCATCTGTAATAATAACAAATAAAAGTTCAAATATTACAAATAAAAGTTACATATAAAAATATGAATGCTTTAAATTAATAATAGGAATAAAAAATCAAATTATTAGAAAATATATTAAAATTTCAAGTTTATAAAAAGAATAAATGTCTCTAAAATTCCAGAATATTTCACACCTGTCTCTGCTAGAATCGTCATGTCGAAAGTTAGATATACAAACAGCTTGCAATGTATCAAGTTGCTGAGTTACTTCCTCAACCCAACGACAATTTACTAGTTCGTGTAAATGAAGGGAAGCTCGACAGTGAGGACATTGAGAGCGCTGCTCAGTAAGCCACCTTCTAATACAGGTGTAACAACACAATTTACTACAGTGAGGACAAAGATGCGCATCTCTCAGCTTTTCCATACAAATAAAACATCGGAAAACTTCTGCCAATGTCTATAATAAAAAAAGAGATTCTTTTTAATTATTACCTTTAATAATCTCATATTATAGTATGCAATTATAACATTATGATTCATAAATAATCAGTCTAATATGTATATAATAATGTATTTTTTATAGTGTATTTTATAATAATTATTTATAATTTTATAATAAAATAAGTATTAGTTTTCATTATATCATTCTGTCATTAATTTTATCATTAATATATATTTTAGAATCTTTATATCTGACTTCTGTTACAATAATCTACAAAATAAAATGTCAATGTTCTACTTAGATATAAATAAAAATATAAATAATGAACAAATTATGAGCATCTAATGTTAAAAAATTTACTTAATTATAAGGATACTGATTCAGAATAATGAAATATGTTTGAAACAAAAGTTTCGGATTTACAGCAAAAATATTATTGTAAATTTTTGAAATGAAAAAAGGCATTAATAGAGTTTCATAGCTGTCGTTACGCAATAATAATAGATCCGTTCGTTGCTCTGACTGTGCCTTCTCACGTTACTTTTTGTATTGAAATAAAATAAGGGCGCAGCTAGAGAACGAAAAAACGGAACCAGTCGACCTCAATGCTAACCTCGACGCTATGGTCGTCCGCGATTTTGGAGGAGACCGACGGGTCACGGCTCGCCATTCTTGATTTAAAGCACGCTGCGCACGAGTGAAGACCGTTATCGGCGAATATCAAACACTTTACTGATCGTGCCGTCCGCGAAACACATGTCCCAGAACTGGATCACCGTGATGTGTTCGATTCGGCGGCGTCGATCATTCGAAGCATCGCTTTTAATCACGGACTCGCGCGATTTCGTCCGATCTCGTAGCGACGGTGCTCGAGCATCCTTCGCAAACAGAAAAGGACGATGTACGCTATTTCGTTATATTCAAAATTTTTAGGGCGAGAACCGTTAGTCGTCGTTCCTGCATACGCTCCGTAAACAGTTGTGTGACAGGACGGGCACGGACAGGCGTTCCGAAAAACGAACGAATTTGCCTCTGTAATTTTGCGCATCGATATTCAGCCAATCAAAACAAAGCAGCTTTGTCTTGGTTGGCTGAATTCCGATGCGAGATCCGCAATCTTCAATCCGATCCACGTCCACAATCCGTAGTGTGACCATCGACCAACGATATGTCGTTGGTAATTTCCGTCAAAAAGAACGCTTCAGTGTACACTTCTTGAACTAGTGCAGCCAGTTCAGCGAAAAAGAACAAACCTAGTGTTTGTGTCATCTGTGTACGCAGTGTACGTTGTTGGAAAACACCGAAAGCACAGTGAGCTGCGAGAATCGAGATGGCATTATTCCGGGGATTCCGGGCATTGCCTGCCGGAATCGGCGCAACTAAGAATACTAAGATTTCTCAGAGTTTACCGGCTGTGTTTTATCACGCAAATGTAACTACTGTCATATTTTTATATCCGTCATTATATCAATTCTAACCTTTAATCACGTGTGCCTTACATGCACTCACTTTTTATATTAAATAAGCATCATTAATGCATTCTTATATACATAATTATATGTAGAAAACGACCGCGTGTAATAATTTTATAAAAATTTATTATATTTTCTGTTGTTAAAATATTTTATTACTGGTTATTTGTGTGTTGTAATATGGCGTAATCTTCTTTACTATATGTATATAAATATATAGTTTGTGTCTCGTGTTCCAATATATATGTCAGTGCTGATGATGTATAATATACGTAATATGAACTATAGATTTTTGGAGTACTGGCTGTATATCAAAATATGGTCATAAATTGCATTTGCATCTCTTTTATGACATTTTATTTTTATTTTATTATTATATTTATAAATTATATATGTCACATTTCCAAAGTCAATAGCATATGACTTCTATTTATTGTAATCAATTTGTTTTATCTAAAATTTCATGTTATTACTTCATAGTATAAACATTCATGTAAAATTTATGTGTTATGCAAATTATACAAATTTTATTTATCAATTAATTTGTATATTTTAATATAAATATATAATTAATTTATATAATATGTTAAAGATGTTATTAATAAGTCATTGTTACATGTACCATACATATTGTTTATGTCTATTATAATTTCTAAATTAAAAAATCTTAAATGAAAATGTTCTGACTTTACAATTAAACAGGTAATCGATCACTATGAAAATCCTAGAAATGTTGGTTCCTTGGATAAGAATGATGAGCAAGTTGGGACAGGACTTGTAGGAGCACCTGCTTGTGGTGATGTGATGAAACTTCAAATCAAAGTTGATGGAGATGGCAAGATAATTGATGCAAAATTCAAGACTTTTGGTTGTGGTTCTGCTATTGCCTCGAGTTCTTTAGCAACAGAATGGGTTAAAGGAAAAACTGTGAGATTTTTTATAGTCAATTTATAATTTACTATGGTTAATTCTTAATTATGCTAAATTATATTAATTCTTTGAACTTGCAATATGTTGAAACATTTTATATAGCTATAACTTTAAACATACAAATTATGGTGTCATCACTAATTATAATCTGTTATTCACTGCAAATACTGAAAATCTACGGTATGTAATGCAAACAATGGATTTTCAATATTTGCAATGAATAATGCACTTTTTATAAGCTTTCTCAATTTTGTTCAAGTTACTTTATATTCGAGTTGTAACTATATACTATAAAGTGTATTTAAATGTAGGAATTTTAATTTACTATTAAATTTTTCAGGTGGATGAGGCATTGACATTGAAAAATACTGATATTGCAAAAGAGCTTTGCCTTCCACCTGTCAAGCTACACTGTTCGAGTAAGTACACATACTTATTAAAAATTTTGTTTTATTAATTTTAAATTAATGTGTCATTGCAATATTTTTTAAGACAAATATGTACTCCAATCAAAAATGTAAAAATAAAATATAATTAAATATTAGGATTTGTGATCAGTACAATTGGTTATCAATTTTATTAATTACAATTTTTTCGCTAATTGCAGTGCTTGCCGAGGACGCAATTAAGGCTGCTCTGTCAGATTATCGCATTAAACAACAGTCAAAGACTAACGAGACAAAGTAATCAAGTAAATTGAAGTACTTCCATCCACTAATGGAAGTACTTTAATTACGCAATGTGATAGCAGCAAAATAGAAAACATAATATGTATGTATAGCCTATAAAGAATGTATAATTTCTATTAGCTCGATCTAAGTAATTATGATTAGTATCATTCCCTTAAAATAATACCTGTAAAATTTCTTAAAATATTTACTAATATGGTGAATAAATCGTACTTGTATTCTTTATACTTGATGAAATAAATTTATTTAAATCTTATATATTACAATGTTTATATATGTAATAACAAAATCGTTTTAATAAATCCAATTACCACTATTGTTTAATATCAGGGCGATGATTTTTTATCAATTTTACAGTAGGGTAGTTTAATCTTAAGGTAAACGTCGACGTATCGGATGAATTTGTTGAAATAATTGTTTCATTATGTACTTTTTTTAATGTAGTATTTAAATTAACTCTCAAGACATTGTCAATTAGATATGAATCTAGTGACTGCAAGAGTCAATTTAATATTAGTCCTCACGTCATTTTCTTCTTTCTATTTGGAATGAAGATGACTTCGATACATTGTTATCTTGAAGAACATTGTTTTAAAACCACTTCGGCAAACAATATTAATGTGATATGATAAATTTGGACTATTTAGTTTCCTATTAAGACTTAGCTAAATTTGACTTTTTAGCATCCAAATTCTCTAAGTATATTTAAGAAATAAATCTTTCTTTTTAAGAAATAAATTTTTAAACCCTTAATTTGAAAAACAGTTCCAAACATGCTCCGTTATTAGATTGATAATATTTCATACTCCAAAAAAAAAATAACATTCTATCAAACATAATTAATATTCATGCACTTAAATTCTGTTTTTTGTCTTTTGACGTAATTTTCTGAAAAGAATAGTTTCTTCTATATTTTATTTTTAGAAATTGTAATATAAGGTGCCTCCAATCTTCTCTCCATTGAAGTTAGCTCTGGTATTTGAAGTTGAATTATATATAGAAACTCCGAACTTTTTCGTTTCAAGTATTTTATACCATACACAATTCAGCTATAATGTTTACATCATATAATTAATAAAAAAAATAACGTACACATATATCTTTATATTGGTTTATATATATATACTGTCTATTTTTAAAGAATTTATATATAACGAAGAATATTTAAAATTTAAATAAAAAATGTTTTAATTTGTATATTTCTATATTTTTTATCATATTATTGAATAATATGATATATATTTTAGTTGTGTTTGCTCGAATACACTTTTTATATGTTAAAGATGCTTTAAAAAGGTTTTGAGATGTTTTTTTTTAACATTACGTCTCTAATAGAGGCACGTATAATCTTTTAGAAATTCTACAAAAGTATTTTCTAAAAATGTCTTGAAGATATTTTTAATGAGATATTTTTAAACATCTACAAGATTTCGATGTTTTTTGAATGAAATTCTACATAATAATATATCGTAAAGAAAGAACCTTCCACGATACTCCCATTTGGACCTCCATCTAAATCAAGTTCGGACCTGGTAAAAAATTTAGTGCTATTTTATTCTTAATTTGTTGGTTTGGGACGAATTTTGTTGCTCAAACCATTTAGCTCGAAATTGTGTTTAAATATGGGCTTCTATATATATATATCTGCGTTCAAAAATGTTCGATGTAACGATCGACGAGTCTTAAACGAAAGTTATTCGGTTACGATTTTATTAAATGGATTATCTCAACGATTTAAATTGCATTTATTATACATATATTACATAAAGACGAAAAAGCCTCGTGCATATGATATTCTTTCTTTTATCGTGAAATACATATATGTTGATTTCATCATGAATTGATATAGCAAAGAAGAGCTTAAGAAACAAACGAATACAAAACTATACGAATACTAAATTAAACGTGATGTAAACGATGATGACTGACGTAATAATAAATAACGTGCATTGACGTTAGTCGTTATCAATGGAAAGCGCTCCACAATCAACATATGAGAAACATGTGACTTAAGTAACTCACGAAAACATGTGCTTTGTGAACACGCGCGTATTTTCTACAGCTTTTCTCCGTAAAGGTGCACGGAAAATATATGTATTGTGCAATTCCTCATATAAATAAAATATATCCATGTCTCGCAAGAACTTCTTTTGTCACGTATATTCTTGATTTAAATTTTCGTTTCAAGTCCGTCATTTCTCGTTTTATTAACGCTCCTTTATATTATATAAAAATATAAATAGATACTCTCATATATTATTAATTTATTTTATTATATATTATTAATTTATTTATATTATATCTTATTAATTTTTGTAATTTTCTACATATTTTTTAAATCAAACTATATACATTTTGAAATTTGAAATGTTAATTAAAAATTAATTGAGGAATATTTTAATCTAGAGAGAGACAAAGATTAATTTAATAAATTTGAAACGATATTTTAACACTGTTTATTTAAAAAAGATTAATTCTGCAATTTCTAAAATAATAATTACTCTCTAAATGTATATATATATATATATATATAATAACTAAAAAAAACTAATAACTAAAGAAATAATCTAGTTATTGTTTTTTTGCATAATGTTACATTTACATTAGATACACATATTTATGCAGAAAACGCTAACATTTTTTTGAATCAGCAATTTTTTTATATGAATTAAATCGAGGTCATTTATTCGACAAATTATGCTGATAATAACCGAAAGCGTTGCAGATTCGAATCAGCACGACGAATTATCGCTGTCAATTTAATTACAAATATGTACTTAATGATTCTTTAAGACGATATAACGAGACGTTGATTTCGCAACAGATAATCTGTTTCGATAACGGTCTTCTTGATGCGGAAAACATGCATTTATTGCAGATTATTTCTAAGAACAACGCAATTAGAACGAACATAGCAAAAACGTTTGTAAAAGAATACTTGTGAGGAATTTCATGGACAATCTTGATTAATTAATTCTGATTCGTAATTCTTCATCCCTTCCTACATATAGCATAGCTTTAGTTAATGGAATGTCGTAAGAAACAGTATAATTTTTTTATGAATCAAAATTCTAAATTTGTTATATAAAATAATAATTTTCTAGAAACATTAATAGTTAATTTATTTTTTTCTCTAAAAACTAAAAATTTTAGCGAATTAAAAAAGTTATGTATTACATATATGATGGATAACTTCACATAACATTTACATATAGTATAGTATAATAATTTAATCTGATGAATATGAATTGCCAAAACGGTTTCAAATAAATAAAAAAGATTTAAGAAAAGAGAGAGAGAGAGAGAGAGAGAGAAACACACACACATAAAATTAAACGGTTTTAATAAATTTAACTTTGTGTGTCACTATCGATTTAGATCCTTATTTTCTATAGAAAGTACTACAATGATTTAAACAAAAAATTATTGTTTTAAAAGAGATTTTAATTATATAATTACATAATCTGTATGATATACATGAAAAAAATATACCATATCCAATTTTTTGTAAATAATTAATATGGTATTGTTTTGTACCCTCTTCGATTAATTTATAGTAAAATTTATTTAATCGCACTTCTTTATAAAAAAAAACATGATGTTTTAAGTAAAAAATTAAATCAAAAATATTCTATATTATTTTCTCTTGAACTGTTTAAAAATTAAATTTGCTTGCTTTGCTATGTTAAAACTAACATATAGTATTCTTTATATTGTTATTTTCTAAAGTGATACATCTCTAACTAGAAAAACAATACGCACCGTCGAAGACACATTATGGGCGCAAGGGCGCACGATGATCACTAACTCCATGTTCTTTGTCTTGCAATTGTCATCACAACACCAATTGATGCTTAATAAGAACGAATTTATGTTGTAACTGCGCGTGTCTGTTTTGTTTGTACGTTTCCACTTGGTTTATGGCTATAATTATTAGCTAAGTCATGGCGTCACGAGACTATTTTACTCCGCACAATATAACCTCGGCGTTATGGTATAGCTGGGATAGTATTGTCGGACTTATCGAAAGACTTTTATGGCGAATAGCGGAATTTTCCATAAAAATTTATACGAGAAAAATCCCCATATTACGGAGATAAAACACGAGATATTTCTACGAGACGTGTGTACGAACGTTTTCGTACGTTGCATTTATTATCTCGCTCATTATTTGTTAAAGATAAAAAAATTACACATGTGACATATAAAACAATGTGAATTTCAAATTACTTTAATTAATTTTTCTCTTATATTGATATCTTAATTTTTTTATTTATCGATTATATAGGATGGCGCACAAAATGTATGTCATATATACCATTTAATTATCTCATTAAAACTATTTGTTGTTGGAGTATCGGTTTTGGCTTATAGTATAATATGATGATGACTCCTTTCATCTCCTAATGTGGAGCATAGGACAACTCTTCCACTTTTTGTCCGAGGTCTATATTCGTTTCTCGAATCAAATTGTTTTCAGATTTGTGGGTGATTGATCCACAGAATCCTACCTCAGTTAGATATTAGAGACATATATCTATTAATATATACTGACGTATGCTGATGTATAGGACCTATACAGTTTAACGCCGAATCCGAACGGCGCCCCTTATAGAAATTTAACACTAATACTGGCCAATTAATCACTTATTTTCAGTATTAAAAATACCAAATGTATAGGACCTATACAGTTTAACGCCGAATCCGAACGGCGCATATATGTAGTATAATACTATACTTTGTAGAAATTCTATTAGGTTTGGTTCCACAAATGTAAGATTAACTTTATTTTGGTTCAAGTTACTCTTCACCTTTTTTCTAATTTTCGAATTGAAAAAAGAATAAAAAAATGAAGAGAGTAAGTTGAACCAAGATTAAAGTTAATCTTACATTTGTGGAACCGGGTCTTAGATATGATACCACAAGTCTTTGAATTAAAGGCGTACACATCAGTGTGAAATGAAGAACATCAAACTTTTTTGAAATGTTGAACATAAAGTGAAAGTTGTACCGTTTTTACGGAAACAAAGAAATATGCTGATAAAGACAAATACATTGCCGACCGTAATATTACTGCTATTATATGCTATGCATTTTTTACAAATTTGTGTCAAAAGAGGTAACCAAAACATTAAAAACCGAACATAAGGCCGCATCCTCAAAA